ATGTATAGTTTAGATGGAAAAATATCTTATAATATTACATAAAAATATAAATAATTAAGTATAAAGAGTTATCTAAATCTAAAAATTACATTAGTGCATAAACAAAATTGTTAATGTAAAAATCTTACGAGTATCCTACACTATAAGACATTCTCAATTGCTGTACTAGTTACTTGAGGAGAGTAGGTACTTAAGTTATCAACAGTTCTTTCCCATTGATAGGGCTATTGAATCATAACGACCATACGCTTTTGGATCCAATGATAAAAGTAGTAAAAAAGGAAAAAGAAAGAGACTTCATAAGAGAAGAAGGGACTCCAAAGGAGGGGCTTATCACATAGTTAGGTTTCTTCTCTTATCGTGTATAAGAGAAAGTACCAGGAGGAAGAGGAAGATAGGGTTTTTTTTTTTTTTTTCCTATTTTTTTAATTTGTGGACATATTTTAAATAAACATATGGCCTTGTAATAAAGTTGATTTGATATTGGTAATATATCATATCTAGTTTTTAAACTTTTAATTTTAAGTAATTTTAGCCCTTAGATGTTCTTTTATACTTTTTTTCATTTCTTGATTATAAAAAATATACTTTCTTTTAATCCTTCTATTGGTTTTGTCTATCAAATTTGTCCCGCTAACATTTTTTTTAATTTCCTTTAATTCTTTAAAGACTTAAACATGCATAAAATAATAGTTTACCTATTAAAATGTGCAACAAATATTAGTTTAGGAATAAAAATTGTGCATAAAACAAAAGTTCAAAAACCAAAACAGACAAAATAAATGAAATGACCAAAAAGGGTATGTTTCATAGTTGAGAAAAGAGAGTATAAAAAATAGTTAGGGACTGGTGGCTTCTAGCCTTCTCACTTTAGGTTTAGGGCCCTTTTTTTTTTTTTTTAATTGGTGGACATAGTTTGAATAAACATACAATCTAGTAATAAAGTTGATTTGATATAGGTAAATTTTCAAATTTAATTTTTATACTTTTAATTTTAAATAATTTTACTCTTTAAATTTTTTTTTATCTATCAACTATGAAAAATATACTTTTTTTATCCTTTGATTAGTTTTGTCCATTAAATTTGTCTAGTTGACTTTTTTTAATTTTCTTTAATTTTTTAAAGACCTAAATGCGCATAAAATAAAAGTTTATGTACTAAACTATGCAACAAATATTAGTTTATTGATAAAAATTACACATAAAACAAAAAGTTTAAGGACCAAAATGGATAAAATGGACAGAATTACCCCAAAAAAAAGGCGTTCTGGAAAAAGGTGAAAAAAATAGGTAGGGACTAAAATTGTTTAAAATTTAAAGTTCAGGGACAAATTTGGCATTTAATCTTTTGATATACGGCGGGATGAAGTGGAGACAGAGGCAAAGGTTGCAGGGAACAGAGGAAGACTTACCTCAGTGGTGGTGGAAGTCAGTAACAAGAAAAATCGGCAGCTTATTGCATTGGGCAAACAGTGGGCCCGTTTGATTAGTTCGACATCACTCAAAAGCAACAGTAAGCTTTGAGATTTTCATCTTTCATAGAGCTAGGCAAGAAAAATAAAATGTCACCAGGGACACAAAGGCTCAAGATCAAGAGCTCTGGTAGTGGCTTCAGAGGCTTCACAAAGAGACTTAGCTTGTTTTCAGCCATGGAATTTACATAAAAAATAAAACATTGTAAGTAGAAAGAACAATGCCAATCATTCATCATATTTGGCCAAAAAATAAAATAAAATCCTTCATCATGATGTCAAAATAGGAAGCTCGTTAGATGAGTACATTAGGCAGCTTCAATATTTTTCATAGATTGAATTGGGTGCTGAACATACAAAGAAAATTCATAATATGTGTCACTTAGTACAAGGCAAAATAGTGAAATACTATATGACAAGTACTACTTTATTAACAGAAAAAAAGAGAATGGTATAACAGGGGGAAACCTAGACAAATTCAGGCACAAAGAGTCAAGATGTATATGTAGGAGAACTGTCACAAACTATATTTGTAATTAATAACCACCCCATCACCTTATAACTTTCAACAGTCATTCCATGATTAAACAGTACTCATCATCAGGAAAAGAGCTGTAAGTAAAAACTAACTTGAACTTCATACAGTGATCGGGAAAGCCAATTGGGCTAGCAAACTCCAGGACTCTGGATCTTTATTCTCCTTCCTTCAATCTAACCCCTTGCACCTTTAACGTCAATCCCTCGATTAGATAAAGCTTCTTCACCTTTTGAGTCATTCCCAGTGTCTCTTACTTTTGTTGCTTGTTCACCACAAGGACCATAAGCCCAGCTGCAAAGAAGGAAGTATAGCAGATTGATGAAACTCATTATGGCAAGAACCCAATAGTAATAGTCGTAATGACCTTTGTTTATGTTATTTGAAACCCAACTCTCTTTCCCCCCTCTTGAGGTTAGCTTAGTCACGATGCTTACTACAACACTGGATAGCAAATTGGACACTGCCATTCCTAGCCCAAACAGAGCAGCGGCAATACTTGACATGCTTTTTGGGAGCTCAGAATAAAAGAACTCTGTTTGCCCTATTGCAGTAAAAGCTTCAGCTAAGCCAAGTAAACAATATTGTGGCACAAGCCACACTGCAGACGTGCGTGACACTGCACTATCATTGCTTGAGTTGCCTTCTTGGATAGCCTTCCCTCGTCTAATCATCTCAACAATTGCTGAAACTACCATTGCCATGCACGAAAGTAATAGCCCAATTCCCATCCTTAGTTTAACACCAAGCTGCACTGGTTTACCCTTGATCTTTGAGGCCAAGGGGAGAATCACGCGGTCATATAGAATAACCCATATCACCATTACAATAAGGCCAAAGGTAGCAAAAGAAGCTGGCGGAATTTCAAAGTTTTGAGAAATGTGCCTGTCCATGGAGCTAGCTTGGATCAAGATGAACGTGGTTTGGCTCGCATTTATTGATAGCATGATCCCTGTACTCCACAATGGTAAGACCTTTATTAGTGCTTTAAGCTCTTCTACTTGCTCTATTGTGCAAAGTCTCCACGGATTGACAGCTAAGCCATCAGCGGCTATTTCTTGTTCAGGATTTCTAGTAATGCAAGCTTTATTCAAAAATCTAACAGAAGAAAAGAAAAGGATTAAGTTGGTAAAAACAGTCCAGCACAACATAAAAATAATATACCAATTAGGGCAAGCAAATATACCTCAACTTGTCAGTTGGCACAACAATTTTTGAATCCTTCCCGTGATGGTAACGCTCACTTGAATTTGGAAAGGGAAACGAGAGGTTTCTGTTTCTATAAGCAACCACAATCACTTGGGCAAAGCCAGTAAACAAGCTTTTCTTTGGTTTCTTCTTGAGATAAAGGGGAGAAGCAATGAAAAACATAATAACAGAGAGGAATATTAGGATGGCTGGAACTCCAAAACCCAGTCTCCATCCAACATGATCTTGTATGTAAACAATTCCTGTCAAAGCAATTACAACAGCAAGGAATGAAGAAGCATAGTACCAACCAAAGAAGCTCTCTAAGACCCCTTGATGTTTTGAGTTATCTCTACTTTCCAATTGATCAGCCCCAAATGCTATGGAGCATGGCCTAACACCACCAGCTCCAATGGAAATCAGAGCAAATGAGGAGAACAGATGAGCCAATTGAGCTGGTGTTGGCGATCTGCAGCTTTGGGTTGATTGATTGCAAGGAGGAGGCTTTGATTTTGGAATCATGGCTGTTAACCATAAAAGAATTATCCCCTGTGCCATTCAAAATTCAGCATTATTCTTTTGAAATAAGTATATGAAAATGCAGTTTAATTTAATCACATGGTCCAACGCATCATGTGCATTAATTGAATAACTCAAGCAGATTTGGGGAAAAAAAACATATATCCTGTTGCTCATCATAGGTTGCCCCACAGTTCTCATCTGACTAATCTTTATATTCATTAAGATTTAAGGAAATTTTTACAGAAAAAGAAACCAAGTCTTACTGATTAAAAGGGATAATCACTATGCAGCAGACAGTTATCAAATGAACGGGCTACTCCACAATCATTTTTCTCCAATAGATATTAACCAACCTAATTGTCCCCAATGCCTGTTGCTAAAACTTCATCAAAACATGAGACTTTCCCTGTTCATAAATTAATTCTTCATTCTTTCTCTTCTAGTTTGGGGGCTCGGTGGGTGTTTCTAATGAATGAGAAAACACACAGGAGGATCAAAGGAAACCTTTAAATAAAATTCACCTCTTGGCCACCGTTCACCCTGTTTGCAGGAAGAATTTGCAACCAATTATATTTTCTTGAATATTATCCCCTCCAACCAAACCACCCGATGCTAAGCTACTTAAGACTTGCACCATCCTCGGATGTCCAATTCATTTGACAGATTTTGTATTTATTTGCGAGCAAGTATTGATTAAAAGAAGAAATCACTACACCATAGCATTCTCTTCATCTGATAACAGAACAGAAGTGGGCAAGTGGGCAAATGGGCAAATGGGGACTGACACAAAATTATTGCAAAATAGATGGCTACTAATGTTGCATAGACTCTTCAATTTACACTACAAGATATGTAAGAACATCACTCTTGATAGACTCAGTTCCAAATATCAGATGTTTACACATTGACATGCCCTGCTGAGGGACAAACTATAGCAGAATGGTTTTGCCAAAGGTAAAGAAAAAAAATTAAGAATAAGAAAAAGGTATTTTATAGTCGACTGCACCCGACTCCAAAATAGCAGCCATTAGATGAGGGCTCCCTGAATCAATCTATGCAATTGTGCTATGATAAAATGGTATCTTCATCTTGGTGAAGTTAACAAAAAACATTTTACTCAGTATAAACAGTACTGGTGCGCGTTTATTATTCCCAATCCCAATAGAAGAATCTAGAGACGGCCAAGATGTTTCATAGCCATACAGGAAGCTAGTGAGAACAAACGCATATGATTATACCACACAAGCAAATCAAATTCATTGGAGAAAAGGGGAAAATGACTGCATAAAAGGAAGAAAGCTACTTAGGAAATGGTATTTTACCGATAGACTGGCCATGGAACCAAAGCCAATGGTGAGAAAACGACCCAGATATGAATCAGAGAGGAAAGCACCCAAAAGAGGCATGAAACTGATTGCAGCATTCCAGAAGAAGATAACATTAGCGGCTTTAGCAACGCTCATGTGATAGTCCTTCCTCAAGTAAAATATGATATTTGCTATCAGCCCATAGCTTGCCACCTTCTCAAATGCTTCATTTGCTGTTCACAAGTCAATACACCAGAATCAAGATTCCAGACTTCAGCACCAAATCATGGGAATTCACCATTTCAGCAATAGATCATTAAAAATCACAGAACTCATCTAGAAAGTACATGCATTTGTGTATTTTTTTTATGGGTATTTTGCACATATCAAAAAGCTTCACATGCTATAGCTATATATGAGTTTTGTAAACACCAAGAACAGTGATTATTCAAAGCTTCATCAAAAATTAAGTTTGATCACCAACTGTTTGACTCAATGCCAAGGAATGGAAATGACCTCTTTGTACGTACCAATTATGAATGGTATGGTGATAAGACCTCCCTTCTGTCTAGTGGGAATTTCTTGGTTTCCCATTTCCCTTCGATCCGAGGAATTCTCCACTTTGTCTTCCATTGCTGAACTGTAGCTTTGTTTCTTGTTCTTGCAGATGCAGAGGAGGAAAAGCAGAGAAAGAAACAGGGGGATGAGACAGTGGGATAAGTGAAGAGTTGAGTGTGGCTTCAGGTTCTGGTGGATATTTAAACCAAAAAAGCTGTCTTTGCGTCATTCCCGGTACCATCT